ATGCTAAAAGGTACAACTTCCTTAAGTTTTGTCCATGAGTGTATCTTTCAGAGTTATTGTCTGAATCCCGATTTACATGCTAAAAGGTACAACTTCCTTAAGTTTTGTCTATGAGTGTACCTTCAGAGTTATTGTCTGAATCCCGATATACATGCTAAAAGGTACAACTTCCTTAAGTTTTGTCCATGAGTGTATCTTTCAGAGTTATTGTCTCAATCCCGATATACATGCTAAAAGGTACAACTTCCTTAAGTTTTGTCCATGAGTGTATCTTTCAGAGTTATTGTCTGAATCCCAATATACATGCTAAAAGGTACAACTTCCTTAAGTTTTGTCCATGAGTGTATCTTTCAGAGTTATTGTCTGAATCCCGATTTACATGCTAAAAGGTACAACTTCCTTAAGTTTTGTCTATGAGTGTACCTTCAGAGTTATTGTCTGAATCCCGATATACATGCTAAAAGGTACAACTTCCTTAAGTTTTGTCCATGAGTGTATCTTTCAGAGTTATTGTCTCAATCCCGATATACATGCTAAAAGGTACAACTTCCTTAAGTTTTGTCCATGAGTGTATCTTTCAGAGTTATTGTCTCAATCCCGATATACATGCTAAAAGGTACAACTTCCTTAAGTTTTGTCCATGAGTGTATCTTTCAGAGTTATTGTCTCAATCCCGATATACATGCTAAAAGGTATAACTACCTTAAGTTTTGTCTATGAGTATAGTTTAACTACTTTCTTATATAAAAACAGGTATACTAAAAACATCCCCATAAAAAGATGACAGAGAAGGTGTATATAGCAATGATTCAAGTACTACATTTAGTATAGCATGCCACCACGTCCGGCAAAACAAGAAGGAAAGCTTTCTGAAGATAGCTAATGGTTGAACGGGTTCTGGAGGTCAACAGTTACTTGAGTGTGTGTTTGTGCGAGATATCCCGTAGCAAGTTCCGGTATGGGAGGCGGATTAATCAACACTACCTCCCCCTCTGATTCCAGAGAAAGGATTATTTGATATCTCAGATTACAAGATCCTATCCGGGATGTTCCTCTCCCTACAAAGTTGAGTATTTGACCCCAGTCATGTATCAAATTGAGACTCTCTATTTACAATAATATATTTATAATTGTATATAATTCTACTGTCCTCAAAGCTTATGTCCATAGTTCATCTAAAATAATTCCAAGAGTCTAACATCAGTATCACTATAAAAGTAAGAATGCAATATAACAGCGGTATGATATATTAAACTGGCGTAACCGCTGGGATGGTTCACCACTTATGAGCCAGGCCCTCCCATTCCATTACAGTAAGGGCAGTAGAAATTGTTTATTTTTAAAAAAATAATCATACGCGTCTATAATAGTTTCAAATTTCAATAATATATATATTAATATTAATACTTTTTTTTTTCTATGAAAAATAGACACTTCAGCCAGTTAGAGTTTTTTTTTTTTTTTTCTTAACGTTTCGACAAAAATATTTTTCTTCGTCAGGAAAAATAAATAAAAATAAAGCATTTGGCAAGGCGTTAATTGCTTTATTATTAAAGTTGCAACCTCAGAACAATTTTTAACGCATTGCCAAATGCTTTATTTTTATTTATTTCCCCTGACGAAGACAAAAGATTTTCGTTGAAACGTTGAGAATATAAAAAACTCTAACTGGCCGAAGTGTCTATTTTTCATAGAACTATGAATGCCGGCCAAGCAACCTCTATCTTCAGAAAAAAGAGAAACAATAAGATATATTAGGAACCTGAACCTTTCAGGTTAGAAAGATAATAATAAATATATTTACAAAAATGGTTGAATCTGTGATAATTCTCTCTAGTATATACAAATTGATATAGATTTAAGATTTACAGCAATTGTTTGTTATCTAGCGCTAAAGAAGAGTATTGTAATCATAGTACAAGCAGTAACAACCCACCATGGCCTGACACTACATGTGTAGACATGTTGCTAAATGTTGTCATCGAGTGTTCTAGACTTGATGTACCAAATCAAATGATGATATCATCATCTCCAGGAACCAACCGACCATTCCCCATGTTGACAGTTCGCGACGGGATGGATCTTCTTTATGTGTCACCAACGGACATCCTGACTGGAAGTGAAGATCTAAACAAGATGTCCAACATACTGGAACATTCGCCAGTGACACATTCAGCGGAGAATTTCAAGAATGGTTTAAAACTCCAATACTAACTAAACTTATTTATGATGTTTACTTTTAACCTTTTCCTCAAAAATATATATACACATACACACACACAAAAGCCTTTATTAGGGACTTGCCCCATACAGATTCTCCCAATTTGGTAAGGTAATAATCATCTTGTGTTATTTACATATAAATTGAACTGGCTTTACTCTTCGTCTCAAAGTCATTCAAAAATATATAGTTAATAATGAGAAAACAATAGAAAGCACGTGTGCTTTTGGTCAGGATATGCCTTCTTTATTTTAAGAGTTAATAATGGATAAAATTTAAAACTAAACGTTTTATTTTTCTAATACACTCATGGACAAAACTTAAGGAAGTGGAAAGATTATGATATCCTCGGTCGTCTATTATTATTATTTTTTTTATTTATTTTTTTTTTTTTTGTAGAAGACAGAAGCAATTTTGTTCACACTTGGTTATCTGGTATGTCTTTAATAAAGGTCACTGTAATATCTTACAGAGTTATTGTATTAATCCTGATGTTTTTCAAACAACGCGTCAATGCATATCAAAATGGTTATATACAAATTTTCTTATAACTTAGCAAAGTCTAATGTGTGTTACATTCTGATACATTATAAAAAATCCCCTTGTTTGAAACATTATTATGGTTTGATAAACAAAAAGTTGGGGAAAATATCTATAAATAGTAAAATTAATATGTTTCCTTATTTTTACTAACTAGAGGAAAATAATGTCTAGACAGTAAACGAATCTATTGATGTCATTTGCTTTTTATCAAAGACGTTCTAAAAAAAATCGGGGAATTACGGCTAGATTTGCATAGGTAGATTATGCAACACGGTAGTGAATCAGCCTATCGTCTGTTTGTCTTGGCATATTATCCTGGTTATCAAATAGGGAAATAGGTTGTGAAGATTAGATCATAAAATCATGATGATAACACCATATATCGATAAAATATTCCCTTGAATCAATATTAAAATGAGAACATTAAGCATCTAAAGAGACAAAGGTCACCTCTCCCGTCAAAATAGACGTCAAAACTAGACGTCATCTAGACGTCTATTTTGACGGAAGAGCGTTTGAAAATCGTAAAGAATTTATTGAGGCACTTGATAATTCCTGTAGAAAAATTATCAATTCAAATCCATCAATTACAATAAAAATTATAATCATTTTTTGTGATACTCACTTAAAAAAGACTTCCAAAAAAGAACAAAATCAGGAAGAACCGTTAGAAAATGCTCTGATGATTCTGAAATATCTTGATGTACCAGAGGAATTATTTTGACGGGAGAGGCGACCTTTGTCTCTTTAGATCAATATCCACCCGGCAAAATTTCCATCTATATTAAGTATCTAGATTAAAGTTTATTTTAAAAATATTTTTTATTTAAAAATATATCAAGCTTTTCAGGTCAAGAAACCCCTTCTACGAGAGAAAATATCTCTTTTTTCATATAAAAAACACTTTAATTTTAAATCTTATTTTATTGGCGTTTTAATGATGTAAGATATTTTCTCCAGTAGAAGGGCTTACTTACCTGAAAGCTTGAGAGATTTTTGAATGAAAAATATTTTAAAAAGAAACGTTTCCCTGGAGGCTTAATGTTCTTATTTTAATAATAAAGGGGGTCGGTGGAAGGCTGGTTAAACCGTTTGGGTTTCGACCACTAGGACCTGTGTTCGATTCCCGCATTGGACACTTTTTTCTGTTTAAAAAAAAAAATGCTCCAATGGCCCCCGATTCTTGCAAAAGTCCAAACCCACCAGCGAGTGCAAGTAACCAAACGGGGCTCTGGTACATTTGTAAGTGCAAAGTCGAACTGCTTTTCACATGTGTAGACATGTGGTGCGCTCACAGTAAAAGCAGTCGCTAACTACCCACCATGATTATCATGGCCTGTACCACGTGTACTAGGGATGAGCAAAAAAAAAAATAATTTCACCATAACATTTTTTAAGCGTTGCTTGAAGAAAACAATCAACCTATACAAGTTATTGTACAAAACAAAAGAGATATCAATGCCTGATGACCTTAGTTAGGAGCTCCAACAGCTGTAAGGTCTCTATTCCACCAACTCGCCATATGTAAATAGAAAGATAGAAAATATGGATTTACGGGAGGTTAATAACTAAAATGTATGATTTTAGATAGGTAAACAGCCAGTACAAGATGACTCGAATGTAACACCTGTAAAGTGAGACGAAATAGAGAAAAACTTATGTCCATAGTTCACTAAACACCCCTAAGCTGCCTTCCATAGAAAATACAGGGTATATCCCAAACCAATCCAATACAATAAAAAAGTCGGTGGATGAGAGGGTAACACGCTCGATTCCCGACAGTCATGAACCGGGATTGAATCCCGCGTTAAAATTTTGTTTAATATGTGAATAACCTTCACATATTATTCATTGTTTCAATAATCTTGAACTAGGTTGCTCTTGTTGAGAGGTACCTATTAATGTGATTTGAACCAGGATCCAATACAATAGTAGAGCGGTCTAGAGATTAATTTGACGAAACCGCTGAGAGGGTTCACTACTGATGAGCCAAGCCCTCTATTTATTTGTGTACAAATTTTAAAGAAAACAAGTTGTTAACTAAATGTACCATATTGTTAAACAAATTCTAAAATTGGAATATTGCATCGATATACATTCATAAACAAAATACAAAAAAAAAAAAAACTTTATAAAAACATTTTGGTCAGATTCTCCAAGTACCTACTGATGGAATTGGACTTTTATAAGAATAAAAACACCATTGAAGCTATTTTTTTAATTCAGAAAATAAAAAGTGTCCAATACGGGATTCGATCCCGGGACGTTACGGTTGAAAACCGACGGTTTAGACCACTCGACCACCGAACAACCCTCAAAAAAAGGTGAATGGAGTATATAAACTGAGAGCATTTAGGTTGGAGTAAAATCTAATTCACACGTGTGGCCATGGCAATGTTCAACGGGTGGCATTTATAGTTAATTATATCATTAGTCCACAGCCGCGCACATGTTATTTTCAAGGATATAGAGGCGGTGTGTGATACACTCATGGATGAAACTTAAGGAAGTGGAAAGTTTTTGATATCGCCGGTCGTCTATTATTATTATTATTTTTTTTTTGTTCACACTTGGTTATCTCCTGTGTCTTCAATAAAGGTCAGTGTAATATCTTTCAGAGTTATTGTCTGAATACTGATATACATGCTAAAAGGTACACCTTCTTTTTGTCCATGAGTGTATCTTTCAGAGTTATTGTCTGTATCCCGATAAACATGTTTAAAGGTACAACTTCCTTAAGTTTTGTCTATGAATGTATCTTTCAGAGTTATTGTCTGAATCCCGATATACATGTTAAAAGGTACAACTTCCTTAAGTTTTGTCCATGACTGTATCTTTCAGAGTTATTGTCTGAATCCCGATATACATGTTAAAAGGTACAACTTCCTTAAGTTTTGTCCATGACTGTATCTTTCAAAGTTATTGTCTGAATTCAGGTGTTAAAAGGTAAAACTTCCTTAAGTTTTGTCCATGATTGTACCTTTTAGAGTTATTGTCTGAATCCCGATATATACATGTTAAAAGGTACAACTTCCTTAAATTTTCTCCATGAATGTATATGGTGAGGCAGGATGGGACTAGATGCAGGTGGTATTGCCTTTCCATCGACCACAGAGACCCAATATGGTGTCACTTCAAGCTGAAGAATGGGACAATGACAGCTTCCATGGTGGAGAAGGATGTCATAATGGTGTGTATACGAACAGAGTAAGAACTTAAAAGTCAGTGAAAAACATGTCATCAATACAAAATGTGAACAAAAAAATTGCCTCTGTATCCTTCAAAAAAAAAAAAAAATTAGACGACCGGCGACATCAAAGACCATCCACTTCCTTATATTTTGTCCATGAGTATACACAATGAGTATATATATAATGTCAAGCATCAAATATGTATATTGGTATATTGTTATATGCAAATATGGTGTTATGATGCATTAGCGCGCTATCTGTTATCAAAATACGAAACTATTTAAGACGCGTAAGATTATTTTTAAAATAAAATAATTTCTACTGCCCTTACTGCAATGGAAAAATTATTGGGAGAGCCTGGCTCATCAGTGGTGAACCCTCCCATCGGTTTCGCCAGCATGTATATATGGTATAAATAGTAAAAAGAACTTCCATGTAGATTTACTAGGTCATCTCCATACAGCCTTGGCGTCCTGATAACACGCTAAAACACCCAATTCCGATAACCACATGGCATTGACCATTAAAAAAACAACAACAACCGGATCGTCCAGTACTTCAGTGTAAAAAAACGATACTTTACAAATTTTATTGGATATTTACGACACCACGTAAAACTTCCTCCATATGTGGAAATAGTAAACTGAATTGTAAAAATCGTTTTAAAAATAGAAAGTGTAAGTTACGATCAAGATAAGCTGTTTGTTTAAGTGATGGTAGATTCTAGTTTGGTTGATTGGTTCTTTTGATGAGGTTTTATCTTCTTTTATACTTAGTTCTAGGTAAATGTATCTGGGTGTAATAATATTGGGAGGTCGGTGAACGAGTGGTTTACATTCATGGACAAAATTTAAGGAAGTTGTACCTTTTAGCATGTATATCGGGATTCAGACAATAACTCTGAAAGATACACTCATGGACAAAACTTAAGGAAGTTGTACCTTTTAGCATGTATATCGGGATTCAGACAATAACTCTGAAAGATATTACAGTGACCTTTATTGAAGACACACGAGATAACCTAGTGTGAACTACACTCATGGACAAAACTTAAGGAAGTTGTACCTCTCAGCATGTATAGCGGGATTCAGACAATAACTCTGAAAGACATTACAGTGACCTTTATTGGAGATACACGATATAACCTAGTGTGAACTACACTACAAAACTTAAGGAAGTTGTACCTTTTATCATGTATATCGGGATTCAGACAATAACTCTGAAAGATATTACAGTGACCTTTATTGAAGATACACGATATAACCTAGTGTGAACTACACTCATAGACCAAACTTAAGGAAGTTGTACCTTTTAGCATATATATGGGAATTTAGACAATAACTCTGAAAGATATTACAGTGACCTTTATTGAAGACACACGAGATAACCTAGTGTGTATACACTCATGGACAAAACTTAAGGAAGTTGTACCTTTTAGCATGTATATCGTGATTCTGACAATAACTCTGAAAGATACACTCATGGACAAAACTTAAGGAAGTTGTACCTTTTACCATGTATATCAGGATTCAGGCAATAACTCTGAAAGATATTACAGTGATATTTATTGAAAACATTTTTGTCCATGAGTATAAATGTATCATTAAAATAGTTGTCCAAAAAAACAAGGGACTTAAGTAATTAAATCAATCAATATGTTCATCAACATGTGTTCATTAATAGATATTGATGAAGAGAGACAGACAATCCTGGAGACACCCAAAAGTCGACGCCCTTCATATAGTGCACCAGATATGATAGCTGTGGTTTCTAAACTCCGATAGGGTGTCAAGGTTTCCAGACCGCGTGTACTTTGTTGGCCAGTGAAACAAGCTGACTTTTCTATTCATGATAAAATTGTGGGAAAAAAAGTATTAAAATTACAATTATATTCTCACAATGAGTATCTTTTTTATTTAAAAAACGCTAGCTTTCAAGCGTTAATCGCTCTTCAACGGGCTTACTATAATATCGACTTGATCCTACCAGAAATATATACAAAAAACAAACGCGCGCAGCGTGGATATATTTATAACTGAAAATTTTGAATTGGTTTGTAATTTAACTATTTTAACTATTTTATGGAATATGTCTATTTTAATTTTTAGCGCATCCAGAACCTATAAAATTGATCTATTGATTTCTTCTGAGATATCTAAGGTATTGTGATGGTATTTTCCTGTTTATGCTGTTATATTCATTAGAAACGAGAGATTATAATAGTGACCGTTGATTAATAAAGTTGACTTTTCTTTGACTATACACTGATAATTGCTATATACGGAAATTTATTAATTAACTAAGTATATAAACCTTAGCAGTGCGTTTCTTTATTCATGAAAAGTACAAGCTTTCATATCTTTATAATTCTTCTCCCCACCAGCGAGTACAAGTAACTAAACAGCTCTCTGGCACATTTGTAAGTGCAAAAGTCCTGTGGCAGTAATAGCAGTAATCCTGCATTAGGCACTTTTTTTCTAATTAAAAAAAAAATGCTCCAATGGCCCCAATTCTTGAAAAAGTCCAACCCCACGAGCGAATGCATGTAACCAAACGGGGCTCTGGCACATTTGTAAGTGCAAAAGTCAATCTTCTTTTCACATGTGTAGACATGTGGTGTACTTACAGTTAAAGAAGTGCTCTACTTCTACTCAACATGATTATCATGGCCTGTACCACGTGTTCTAAGGATAAGCAAAAAAAAAATCCTTCTACAGGCATAGCTATAAGTTGAGAAAACGAAGATTTATAATATTAAACAATGCTACTGTTTATATTCTTTTTTTTTATACTTTATAGAAATTTTCTCTTCTAATGGAATCTTATTTTTATAACGTTGACCTTATTTTCTGAAATTATAGGTATTGTCAATTTACCAATTATTTTATTTCCAAAGAGCTATATCCCGCAAGGGATACTTGCGCCAAACAAGGAGAAAAGTTTATTTACATTATTCAACGCATGAAAACATTAGAAATCCAGATTTTGTAGAAAGTTTAGAATGTATTTACAAAATGAATTGAACTTTAAATATGATTTTTTATCGGAAATCAAATCGTTAAGTTCACAAACAACTAGTTCGTTCTTCATTCTATAATCTTGAAATATAAAAAATAGCTAATGTCTGTAGAAGGATTATAAAGATACGAAAGCTTGTACTTTAGGCGCAAGTATTCCAAGCTGGGATATCGCGTCCGATATGTCAAATAAAATTATGGGTTTATATGCACATAGAGATAAGAGTTTCTCTTTTAAAACCATTTATTTCCTAAGTCTCTAGCTTTCGGGTACCAAAGCCAGGAGAAACACTCTACAATAAATCGTCTATAAGGATCCTGGTTCAAAATCACATTAATAGGTACCGCTCAACAAGAGCAACCTAGTTCATGATAATTGAAACAGTGAATAATATATGAAGGTTATTCACATATTAAGCAAAATGTTAACGCGGGATTCATTCCCGGTTCATGACTGTCGGGAATCGAGGGTGTTACCTACTCTTCCACCTTATCCTATAGGGATATAATTAAAAAATCAAATACATTAGTTGTTTAATTATTTGAATGCAGATTTTAATTCCAGCCCTGTATTGATGATTTATTTTGAGTATTTTTCCTGTATAAGGGCTTTCGTGCCTTTCCAAAAACCTCAGGTCACTAATGCAACAACATCGGTACTTTTTTTCACATTGTTTAGCGTTCTCACACAATTCTGGCTTTAACTACCAGTTTCATGATTTTTCAGGATGCCTGAATGACCAGTTTTTTGGTCGTTGAGGTACAGCTTGTACCACGCTGAATACAGTCCGAAACGCGTACGTGGTTAGCTTTTTTTGATTAATCGAAAATGAGTATTTGACCAATTCTGGAATAATGAAAAAAAAAAGTTGATATTTATATTCCGATAGATGGCACAAGCCATCAGAAAATTTTAGTTGCACGATAAGGAGATGCTCTGTTTTTTTTCTTTTTTTTTTTGCTTAGTTGCATATTAGCTTAGACTAATCCAACTTTACTTGAGAGTGGTCAGAGGCCTCTACAGGTCTATCTAAGCCAGACTATGGGAGGTTATCTAGCCCAGATTGATAGACCCGTCCGTCTATCCATCACCACAAGTATCTACTCCCCTGGAAGTATCTACCTTCTTATCTCTCTCCGTTAGGTCATCCTCCCCTACCGACTCTACAAAATATATTTTTTAGCTTCTACCACACTATTTGGCGCTCTGTCATCTAAAAAGCTCAAGTTAACGTGGTCAGAATATGTCTTATTTTATTTTAATATCAATACCTGACCATTTCTAAGTTCTATTTCTAAGATCTAAGTTCTTAGATTTCAATAATCAAAAAGTTGTTGCATGGAAGATTTAACCCGGATCTTTGCAGTGCGGGAAAGAAGGAAAAACACCACCACCACCTATAATTGAGCCATGTGGTATCCAAGGACCATGTCAACTTGTCCCACCACAGTATAAATCAACAGTAACGTCCATTTTTTATCGACAGTTGTTGGCATCGCATCTGGCATTCTTACATCACGAGTTTTTTATTTCTTATTTCTAAGACAATCTAACACTTATACTCACGCGGTGCAAAAGTAAAAAATAAATACGTTTAAACGAAAGAATGTAAAATGCTTAATGATCATGTTAATAAACGTTTATATTCAAAACTTGTTTTCTTTTTCTAATATCCTCTCTGAGACAGGTTGTGATTAGTTTTAGCATTTTGGTATTTTTAAATAAGTATAGAGTCGAACTTGGTGGAAAAAAAACGGTTACAAATTGAAATAAACCTTTTGATTAGGAAAACCTCATAGGGACAATTTCATCCTTGTCAAAGGGAGAGCTAGCTGCATATTTTTTGGGGTACAAAGACCATTCCATTATTGTCAAGGGGAGTGGTAACTGTATATGTGTTGGGTACAAAGACCATTCCATCCTTGTCAAGGGGAGTGCTAACTGTATATGTGTTGGGTCCGAAGACCATTCCATCCTTGTCAAGGGGAGTGCTAACCGTATATGTGTTGGGTCCGAAGACCATTCCATCCTTGTCAAGGGGAGTGCTAACTGTATATGTGTTGGGTCCGAAGACCATTCCATCCTTGTCAAGGGGAGTGCTAACCGTATATGTGTTGGGTCCGAAGACCATTCCATCCTTGTCAAGGGGAGTGCTAACTGTATATGTGTTGGGTCCGAAGACCATTCCATCCTTGTCAAGGGGAGTCCTAACCGTATATGTGTTGGGTTCGAAGACCATTCCATCCTTGTCAAGGGGAGTGCTAACTGTATATGTGTTGGGTCCGAAGACCATTCCATCCTTGTCAAGGGGAGTCCTAACTGTATATGTGTTGGGCTCGAAGACCATTTCATCCTTGTCAAGGGGAGTCCTAACTGTATATGTGTTGGGCTCGAAGACCATTTCATCCTTGTCAAGGGGACTCCTAACTGTATATGTGTTGGGTTCGAAGACCATTCCATCCTTGTCAAGGGGAGTGCTAACCGTATATGTGTTGGGTTCGAAGACCATTCCATCCTTGTCAAGGGGAGTGCTAACTGTATATGTGTTGGGCTCGAAGACCATTTCATCCTTGTCAAGGGGAGTCCTAACTGTATATGTGTTGGGCTCGAAGACCATTTCATCCTTGTCAAAGAGCGTTAACTGTACATTTATTAGGTCTAAAGACCATTCCAATCGTCCCTCTTTTGTTCAACAATGTATCAAATTAACAACAATAGAGAAAATATATTTTATAATAGTTCCCAATCATGAAAAAAACAACGTAATAAACAGAAAATTGAGGAAAACTTACATATCATTAAAGATATTGTGAAAATGTACAGAATCATCAAGGATTATTGTAGGATGTAGATTGAGATGAGATGGTATTTAGATAGTCAGTAAGGGGTGGGTTGGTCACCCCAGGTAACCGGAGATCCACTCGAGGTCAAGGTGGAGAGAGCACTTCCTAGTTTGGCTAGGCGGCTTATATAACCCCACAATGGCCATTGTCTGATTGGTCGAGAGATTTCTTGACCTCTTTACCTCACCTCTCTAATGAGAGCATTTCACAGGTGTGACTTACATATTTCTCTCTCTTCGTTTTTGCAATATTTGACCAATCCAGATTAGACTTGAGAGGCCTGAAAGGAGTCGCTGTCATATCTTCGACCTCTAATAGGCAAATTATCCAACAATTGGGCTCATTTGCATATCCCATATTTGTTCCGCATATGTTTCTACAATATTTAACCAAGCCAGATGAGACTTTACAACGAGAGACCCGAAAGGAGTCACTATCATCTCTTCGACCTCCAATATGCAAATTATCCAACAATTGGGCTGATTTGCATATCCCATTTATTCCGCATATGTTTTTACAATATTCGATAAATTTAGATGAGACTTTACAAATAAATGCTCGAAAGGAGTCGCCAAATATTTGACTTCAGAGACTATGCAAATTAGTCAGACAATGGATAAATTTGCATATTCCATTTGTTCCGCGTGTGTTTCTACAATATTTGACTAATCCAGATGAGACTTTAGAAAGAGATAGCCGAAAGGATTCGCCATATCTTCTACCTCGAAATATGCTAATTAATCCAATTGTCGAACTAATTTGCATATATCATCTGTTCCGCATATTATTCTACAATATTCGACCCATATACAGATAAGACTTTGATATATATAGGTAGGTCTAAAATCCACCGTCATAGTATTGACCTGGGAATAAATGAACGAGTCCGATAACGGTCAAAGTTGCATATTCTTGGGTCCTGTTTGGTCTTCATAAGTAGAGGGGCAGCTTGGGTCATAAGATGAATATGATAATAATGTATATTAATATGAATGCCCATCTTTAACTACTAATATTATTACTACTAAACTATGTTTATTTACACGAATTCACTCATCCTTACAAGAGCAACAATATAATTCCAATAAACAATGAAGTATGGAAATATGATATTTACATATTTGCATACCAACAAATATGATTTTTTTTCTGTTGGCTTCCCGTACAGTTTTCTGAAAAAGGAGTTTTCTGAATGTGTTGTGACAATTGACAATTAAACAACTTTATTGACATCTCGTCAACGTTTACACTCACAAAAAGTTATAAGAGCAAGTTAAATATGATAAAAATATATAATGATAAATAAATATTTACATTTAATATTTACATCAGGCGGAGCCCTCACCGAGGAGACGTCTGGATTTCATCAGGAGCTTAAGGCCACCCTGAGTTCTGACAATCCCTGATCTGAATGTGTTGTGTGTTGATAAATTCCATAATAGTTATTACTAATAATGATAATAATGTTTAACATGTGGGTTAAACCAATATATAGAATGGGTAAACATCCACTCTGGCAGTATCCAGACAGGTCATTTGTCAAATAGACAATAAAAAAAAAGGAAATGAAAGGGTTTAGCAAGAAATGTAAGCAGAAATTCTCTTGCAGACAGTATGTAACATCAGCGAGAAAAACCCCCAGACATCATGCAATAACTCCTACCTCTTTATCTGACCGGTTAACTCGGGGTTTTCCTGAGGATTTTCCTGTGGGGTTTGTGGACCACATTCTTTAGATTCAATATTTGCTAAAAAATATTGGAATTTGGAATTTTTTAAATCATAGCTATTGATAAGTAAGAAACATGTGTGTGTGGAAAACATCTTTAAAACGTGCTTTCAATGGAACCAAAATGTATCAGCATTCAAATTTGAAAATGTCTTTGTGAGTGTTTTTGTTGTTGTTTATCATTGGCTGATGTTTCTTCCTTTCCAGAATTCTTAAAATGAACCACACTCATGAAGAGACAAAACTTATGGAAGTGGAAAGTCTTTGATATCGCCGGTTGTCTATTTTTTTGAAGGAGACAGAGACAATTTAGTTCACACTTGGTTATCTCGTGTCTTCAATAAGGTCACTATGTATCAAATATATTTTATTTGAATACCGATATATATATATGCTGAAAGGTATAACTTCCTTATGTTTTGTCCATGAGTGTATACACACTAGGTTATCTCATGTGTCTTCAATAAAGGTCACTGTAATATCTTTCAGAGTTATTGTCTCACACACACACACACACACACACACAATCCCAATATACGTACATTCTGAAAGGTACAACTTCCTTAAGTTTTGTCTATATGTGTAAACACAAGGTAATAAGACCAAATCCAAATAAATAAATAGTGTGTGACGTTTCGGTAACAGCTTTGTTACCATCTTCAGACAAAAGTACTGAAACTGTACTTTCATTCAGTACTTTTGTCTGAAGATGGTAACAAAGCTGTTACTTAAACGTCACACACTATTTATTTATTAGGATTTGGTCTTATTACCTTGTGTTTATAATTTATAATCCAAATTGTACCTTATCACGTCTATATGTGTAGTTTACAAGAATTTCTAATGAATTTTCTCATAGGTTACAAGAATCTTAAATTTATATATAAAAACACAGTAGGAAAAATATATTTTATAACAAAAAGAACAAGCTTTGAATACACAACCATTATGAAAAGAATTCAAAAGAACATAATGAAATTCGAACAAAATATTATAGATCGTGTCTGAAGATGTTTTGATATCAGAAAGAAGGAATTCAAAGAAAATCATATTGGAATAAGAAAAGAAGGATACAAGACAACCATAATCTTCATATCCACTATAGAAAGAGAAACTCAAGTCAGGGAGAAGAGATTCTTTATATGAGTGGACGATGGTACAAGATTTCTGGTAAGATGCCCTTTCTACAGGTACAGAACGATACGAGAGAGAGAGAGAAATAAGGATAAACCCAGGCCCCTGGAGCGTAAAAAACACCAACTGCCTGAAATGATACGAATGGCAATGGTTTATATATATATTGTCAAGTAGCTCCATCCAGATGAGACACCTGTCAATCATCCCTGGACCCCGGGGGGGACCACAGGTGTGAGGGGTTCTCGGAAGCTGATCTGTAAATAAGGAAAACGGGACGGTGGCTGACGTCGCTCATTAGGATTATCTTTAACTTGGAGTAAGTTGTACTTTCTCTCTCTCCCTATAAATACCCCTTATAATAAATTAATTATTCCTAAATTTGCCCTTGCTTTATTTATCTCCGCGACAATATATACACTTTCATGACAATTTTTTACATAATTCTAAACTTTTTCTAAGTATATTACTAAACCTAGGGGGGGTCGGTGGAAGGCTGGTTAAACCGTTTGGTTTTCGACCACTACGACCCGGGTTCGATTCCCGCATTGGACACTTTTTTCTGATTAAAAAAAAAATGCTCCAATAGCCTCCAATTCTTGCAAAAGTTCAACCCCACCAGCGAGTGCAAGTAACCAAACGGGGCTCTGGTACATTTGTAAGTGTAAAAGTCCACTTATATAAAGAATCTCTTCTCACCGACTTCTATTTATTCTTCTATAAAGAAGGATATGCAAAACAGTGATGGAAGGAACTATGCAAATCTTATTGAAGAATTACTCACAGATTGTGGGTGGATTGGAAGATCCTGGGAGATTTTGGATTTCGCTCCATGGTAGATATTCTGAAAAATCCTTTACGTGTTAGTTCAATATTGTTCTAGCGAGCAAATCTCTAGTAGAAGTTAAGACCTATATGTAAATAGAGAGAAAAATCAATCAATTGGAACCTGAGAGCATAACCGAAATACATTGATGAAAATGATATCATTGTGAAAAAATATGGAATAGATTAAATAGGTTTTTCAAATTGATTTGCATTTATTTATCATTATCTGATATGAAAATAGGAAAGACAAACCTAAGAATGGCATGATGATTTTGATTGAAACAATTTAACAAGACGCCAAAAACTAAGGCATTTCCTGTCAAAACAGACGCCAACAACGAAAAATCGTTTTAAAAAAATCGTTTAAAAGAAACACATGCGGGATAATTTTCAAATGTCGTTCTACAATCATAAGCCGCATTATATTGTATTATAAATTACTTTACATAATATTTACGAACGGAAAAATATGTCCAGGGTAAGCCTAGTGAACATGGCATCTGCCCGGTAAGCGGAACACTGTAGGTTCGATTCCCATCCCTGGACACTTTATTTTTCCGTTTATCATTACTCTTCACAATTCATCCTTTCATACTTCATCCCTAAGGTTAGAAATATTATAAATATTATAAATCGTTATTTCTCCATAAATTTAGATTTTTCATTTAAAAGAAACACATGCGGGATAATTTTCAAATGTCGTTCTAAAATCATAAGCCGCA